TACTTTCTCAGCACTCCAAACACGTCTTATAAATGTTGCAAATGATGGTCTTTCTTTCTACTCTTCACTGCCATATCATCGATATAAGTCTCTACGATTTTGCCCATTTGATTCTTAGAAATCTTGTTGATCAACCTCTGGTATGTGGCTCCAGCATTCTTCAATCCGAACGGCATGACCTTATAACAGTAAGTTCCTCGTTCAGTCACAAAAGAAGTCTTCTCCTCTGTCGATATAATCGATGTCTTCCTTGTATTAGCTGCTTCTTCCTCTTCTAAACGTACGAAACCGTCAGCTCTCTCGTTCAGCTCATCCATGGTCTTTGGTGTATTCACTACCAGACTTATGTGGAATAGTGTCCCTCGGTTCATTGCTAGCTTGAACGCTTGAACGGCCGTAGATAGATGATACTCCATTACCATGCTCTTAACAAGGTTAAACCTGGTGAGGAAAGCTTGGAGTCGCTCGTCTTCATGCTGTTTCATTGTAAACAGGCTTGAGACATCTTTTGTAAGGCGCTTGTTCCCATAGTACTGGCTTATGAACTTGTCACACAGGTCTTTGAAGTTGGTGATTGAGCCTTTGGCTAAATTCTTGAACCAATTATGCGCTGGACCAGTCAAACTGGTAGGGAAACACTTGCACATTAGAGGATCATTCTCCGTGTTCAGAGCCATCTTCAACTGAATGTGATAAATGTGATCGATCGGATCATTCGTTCCATCAAACAGTATGAAGACTGGCATGGAAAACTTCCTCGGATTCGGAGCGTTCAGGATTGCGTCAGTAAATGGTAAAGCAACCGTTCTTGCCGATGAATGGAGGGCCTCATTCTCCCTTGGATACTTTGAAAATATCCTCAGTTCAATAGATCCCCTGTCCGGACCTCCATACTCGTATGTGGACATTGATGGACAATAAGAAGGATCGTGAAACCGTTCCTATATGAATTCCTTTTGCCATAACGGTGTAACCTTGTTACGACCGTTCTCTATGGCTTCCTCTCGCCCCTGCCTTTCTTGATATAAATCGAATGCCATTCCCTCATCTCGCCTGACCCGTTCACTGTGCGGATCCAAATGAATTGATCCTTCTCGATCGTCCACATGATGAGCATTCGGTGGCAAGTTGCCTGACCTGACCTCTTCACGGTGAAGATCTACACGATCGTTGCCTTTATGTTCGCCTTGGTAAGCAACATCAGGCTATATAGCCCGATCTCCTGCTGGAACTGGCTGAGGAATCGCCGGAACCTTTCGACGCTCCATTCCGGCACGTAACTCCGCATTCTCCTTTCACTAGGCTTCGATCATGTTCATCAACTCATCGAGCTTCATTTGCTGGCCATTGTCCTACGGATTAGAACTCTCACTTCTTATCATCATTCCTGATCAGAGCAGAGTCATCAATTGTGAATTCCTGATCAGATCTGAGTTTGCTAATGCGAACACACTAGATCTAGCCTCGAACTATGTAATACCCCTAATTTTGAAAGGATAGTTCTAGTATTTTAATTAAGTATTTGGTTGCATTTTTAATTATTTAATTATTTTGTTACATGGTTATTTGCATTAATTGTTATTATTTGTTATTATTTGATTTATTTGAATTATTTGGATTATTTGAATTAATTCACTTATTTAATTTAATTGGTAAATTATTTTTATGTGTCCTTTAGTGTTTTCTTTAATGGTTTAATTATGTAAATAAATGAGTATTTAAATACGTTAGTTCTTTAGGGTTTTCTGTTTGAAGTCTGGCAGGTGTATCCGACATAGATTAACTTGGGTTTGTTCTATGGGCCGACTCGGATGTAATTAGGGTTCCATCTCTAATCATATAGGGACTAGAGTTTTATTCAAGCCTATATATATATAAAGCAACACGTTTGTTAGAGTTAAAAAAACCCTATTCACGTACCTAGCATATTGAGAGAAAACAGAGTAAGACTTGTGAGAATACAGAGAGGTTGCAGTCGGGGTTTCGGCTGTGGATTAACGGACAAACCTAGGAGGAGGGAAGGTGGAACAGTAGGAGGTTGAGTTGATAGTAGCCAGTCGTCATCGGAAAAGCTTAGAAAGACGGCGACAAGGTTTTGAGTCCAAAACTACAAAGGCAAGTTCTTTTCTTCCTCTCTCCCTTTGGCTTGTGTTTTGTGCACCTAGATAGTCTCTAGGAGATTAATTGGACATTAACTGAACCATGCATGATTTTTATATGTTAACTTTGATTATCTGTTATCTGTAAAAACTTATCTGCAATAATTCTAACATGTATGGTTGCATCGTCTCTGTTTTAGCATAAAAAGTTGCCACTGTTTTAAGCTTGTATTGAATCTTACTGCAATAAACGAAGGTCTAAATTAATACTAGTGTGATTTAAGACCTTTAAGTTCAATTTAGAGGAAGAACAGTAAGGTCAGAAGTTACTGTAGATGAAGCAGAAGACGCGTAGTAGGCAAAGAGAAGGCTCTTTGATAAAGAGAAGGCTCTGGATTTGAAAGAAAATGCTCTTTGATAAAAGAGAAGGCTCTGGATTTGAAAGAGAAGTCTCTTTGATAAAGAGAAGGCTTTGGATTTGAAAGAGAAGGCTCTTTGATTTAAAAAAGAAAACTCCAAGCATAAAGAGCCTGCTCCCAAAGTCATTGGAGCAGGCTCTCTCTCAATTTTGGTTTTATGATTTGTTTTTACGAATTGTTTTTAGACTGTGGAGGGTTTGAACTGTTTGGATAAATTCTGGGACTTCACAGAGGGGTTAAGTAGTTAATCTTGGGTGTTAGTAAGACCTTAGAGTGATTAAAGTTGACCTTTAAGTCAATGGGACAAACAATATAAAATTAATGAACTTTCTATGCTGTTAACGGATGGAAGACAAATCAATTGCTTAATTAAATTTTAGCAATTTAATGGGATTAGTATGTTTATAAAACTTATTTTAGATGCATGATATGGTCATTTATTTATTAGTTTTGATCTATGCATGCTCTTGGTGCTAATTATTGAAAATTAAATATTTTTCTGCAATTACATGGATTATTGTTTGGATTTCAATTGCTAGAATATTAAATATCTTTCTGCAATTATTTGGATAATGGTTTAGACTGTAAATTGCTAAACTTTTATTTATGTGCTGTAATTTACATGGATATGGAAGATTGTATGCACCGGTATGGGACGGTGGCATACTAGGGATGGTTTAGCTCAAAACATTAAGACCTAACCTATCGGATTAAAGGAAAGGATTGTAAAATATTGAATCCTAATTTTTGTTTAAGTCAGATCGACTGAGTAAGTTGAGTGACTATCTGGATTAATTGTTGTTTGTGGTTAAGTCAGATCGACTGAGTAAGTTGAATGACTATCTGGATTTATTGTTATTCGTGGTTAAGTCAGATCGACTGAGTAAGTTGAGTGGCTAACCGGATTAGGAGTCGTATGTCAGATCAATAAAGAATTGAATGACATACTTTGGTTTTGGACGGACTTTATATATATGATTATGGTACCACGATATGAGTTTGAGTCTTAAAGTCGATGGTTAGGGGGCGTATATGCAGTGAATGCATAGCTGGCTATGATAGGTTGAGGTATACTCTATTAGGCTTAGGTACTCATGCCCACTTAGGTACGTTTTGCACGTTGCCTTCTATTCAGGTTAAAACCCCCTATATAGTCCAGTGAATGTTCTTAGTGTGGATATATATATATGTATGGACTAGATAGATATTGTTGAGATATTTAGGGTGTATCTGTGTATCGGGTCACTGTATGGATTGCATTTAGATTAGAACTTGTACGTGGGCCTAAACCACTCTTATATTTTTCAGGTAATGGATGGTTCCAGTCTTAGGGCTTGTTCAGCTAAGCAGAGGCGGTCATTCACTCTACCGATGACGTTGGATTTCATTCCATGTTTTAGACTCGGTTTTATTTCCAGTTATTCAGTTTCAGTTGGGATTTTATTTAGGGGTTCACTAGATGCATTCCCGAGTTGTACACTTGGAGGTTTTGGAAGGATTGGATTATTTAATCTTTATTGGTTGAGGTTTTTATAATTAGTATTTCTTTCAGCTTTATTCAATTTCATATTTCATGTTTATATTCTGTGTTCCTTTTAAAATACTTTAATTGTTTGATATTCCCTCGGGTTTGGGGCCTGGGCCTGATCAACCCTGTCTCGGATCCGAGGGGTATCACAAACTAGCTGAATTCTAATCTTCCTCTGCCGGATCTGAATCGTTCCTGCCGTGAACTAGTCAAATCTAGCTTCACTCAACAAATTGTGATTGCCTAGATCTGACTCCAATTTCCAAAGATCAGCCACAATCAGGATTCCGTAAAACGGATCTTGATCTCGCCGATCTAAATCCAGCTTCCAGAGACCGAGCTTCTTCTCCACGAATCAATCTTAATCGAATCAATCTTTATCGTTTCCCACAGACGGCGCTATTGAAGATGCAAGAAATTTCTCTCTCAATTTTGACAAAGTAACTCTACACTTCAATATTTTTTCGTCCCTTTTTCCATTTGCTTTCTGTCTATTTATAGACTATTACATTCTTTTTAGAAGCTTCCTAACTAATTTCTTGCGCTGGGCTTCTTCTTGGGCTCTTCTTGATCATGGGCTTTACTCTTTCAATCAGGCTTCTGGCGTGGTCCGCTATTCCTGGGCCTAACTTGCGAGAGCTCGGTTTAGACCTGGATCACTTATCCAACCCATTTTTAGTGACATGGACCTAGCCCGGCCCATGCCATATTTGGCATCCTCAGAGCTCGAATTTGGCTTTCGAACTTGTCACGATTTCGAGCCAAACCTACGAATCAACAAGACAACTTCGGACACATTAAAACTTGACTCGATTCATTTGTAGTCTTTAACAGGGACTTAGAAAATAATTATCCTATGATAAAAGACTCGTCGGACCATGTCAATTGGGCCTTGAAATGGTGGGCTACCTCATGAATAGGCGGGCCTTTGGAAGCCTACTACCTGAATGACTCTCACTTTCACTCTTCCTCGGAACAGAAAAATTGGATAAGAAACAAGGCGGCACAGGAAGTCCCTCTTTCGCCTCACACCGTCTCAGACCTCAAACGCTCACGCAGTAAGCTTTTCCGGCCTTTCTTTCTCTCTCTACCTCCCCATCTCTCTCTCTCTCTATATATATATATATATATTCAGCTTTTTCGTCGAAAGCTTATTCAAAAACCTCTTGTTCTGTTACAATCTGCACTTACTCTTTGTTAAAAACAATTTGTAATATATTGTTATTTTTATCTGCTCTTGTAGAACATGTATGGGTTTGCTTGATTTTGTGATTGGAATCTTGGTTGAGTACAAGTAATGTTTAACATGGATTTAGTAGTGCCTACAAAACAAACCCATGAAGGGTTTTGCTCATTTCAATGTGTTCATAGAGAGGGTACTAGGAACAACATTTTGGGGGCTAGGGTTCGTCCAAACATCAGTTCAGTGACAGTCTTCACGGGGCACAAAGATTGCTTTCTTGTTCTATCTGTTGACAGTGGTGAATTGAGAAAACAAAAGGGGTTGCCAAAGCAGAGGCAAAATAAGGTTTTTGCTGTGTCGAAGGGCGAAACACTTAGTTCTATTGGTAGGTTGTTGAATGTTGAGAAACCCCCATCTGGGCAATTGAGTTGTAATAGTCCCTCTTGGAGTCCGGTGCAATCTTCGAGCAATTTCGAAGAATTTGAGAGCAATAATCATCTCCGTCGATTGGTTAGAAATGGGGAATTGGAGGAAGGGTTTAAATATCTTGAGAACATGGTTTATCAGGGTGATATTCCTGATATTATTCCTTGCACAAGTTTGATTCGGGGGTTTTGTCGAATGGGGAGGACTAAGAAAGCTACTAGAGTTATGGAGATTCTTGAAGATTCTGGGGCTGTCCCTGATGTAATAACTTATAATGTTCTGATTAGTGGGTACTGCAAGTCTGGGGAGATTGATAATGCACTGAAGGTCTTGGATCGAATGAGTGTTTCTCCGGATGTTGTCACGTATAATACAATACTGCGTTCGTTATGTGACCGTGGGAAGCTGAAACAGGCAATGGCAGTTCTTGACCGGCAATTGCAGAGGGAGTGTTATCCTGATGTTATCACGTATACTATTCTGATTGAAGCCACTTGTAAGGAAAGTGGGGTTGCGCAGGCTATGAAGCTCTTGGATGAGATGAGGACTAAAGGTTGTAAACCTGATGTGGTTACTTACAATGTACTTATCAATGGGATTTGCAGGGAAGGGAGGTTGGATGAAGCAATCAATTTCTTGAATCATATGCCATCATATGGTTGCCAACCTAATGTAATTACCCATAATATTATTCTGCGTAGCATGTGTAGTACTGGGAGGTGGATGGATGCTGAGAAACTCTTAGCTGAGATGCTTCGGAAAGGCTGTTCTCCCAGTGTTGTTACTTTTAACATCTTGATTAATTTCTTATGCCGAAAGGGATTATTGGGCCGAGCAATTGATATTCTTGAAAAGATGCCCAAGCATGGATGTACTCCAAATTCCATGAGTTACAACCCATTGCTTCATGGGTTTTGCAAAGAAAAGAAGATGGAGAGAGCAATTGCGTATTTGGAAATAATGGTGTCTAGAGGATGTTATCCTGATATTGTGACCTATAACACTTTGCTCACGGCTTTATGCAAAGATGGGAAGGTTGATATCGCGGTTGAGATTCTTAATCAGCTAAGTACCAAAGGTTGCTCTCCAGTTTTGATCACTTACAACACAGTGATTGATGGGCTCTCAAAGGTGGGGAAAACAGAATGTGCTATAGAGCTGTTGGATGAGATGCGGAGTAAGGGTCTTCAACCTGATATAATTACTTACTCTTCGCTAGTGGCTGGGCTAAGTAGAGAAGGAAAGATTGATGAGGCCATTAAGTTTTTTCATGATCTGGAAGGACTTGGTGTCAAGCCCAATGCAATCACTTACAATTCTGTCATGTTGGGGCTTTGTAAGGCTCGCCAGACTGATCGTGCCATTGACTTGTTGACTTTTATGGTATCCAAGGGATGCAAACCAACTGAAGCTACATACACCATTCTTATTGAAGGCATAGCTTACGAGGGTTTGGCAAAGGAGGCTTTGGAGTTATTGAATGAATTGTGCTCCAAAGGAGTTGTTAAGAAAAGTTCTGCAGAACAGGTGGCAATCAAGATGTAATCGGATGCAAGCCATCTTTTGGGGGATGACCGGTCACTAGTAACACAATGCCCTTTGATTTTGTTTCCTCTGATTTTCATTGTGAATGATATCAAGAGTGTCTTATTTCTTCTTCTTCTTCTTATTGTATCAATCTTAGTTTCTCGTTATGACGAGCAAAATCCAAAGCAATTTTGTTAGCTACTCATGAAGTCTCATCCTCGCTGGATTTTACTGAAACTACTTTGTAAACTTTGGAAGCATTTATATATACTTGGGTGTCGCCGTTATCTGAAGAATATATACTTATTCATACGTGCTATGTGCTTATTAGTCGCCATTTCTGTGATAGTTGTTCTTGTGTTGCAATTTACAATGTTGTCACTCTTAAAATGGTAAGTGTTGCTGAGACAGTTCATGGCTTCTTATTCTAATCTGTTAGTTTTAATTTAGAAAGGAAATAGATTATCATACTCATTATTTTATAATATCCATGTAAAAAGATGAGATTGAGATTGAGATTGAGATTGAGATTGTTATTCTAATCTGAGTTTACGGTTCGTCCCAGCAGGCCACCCGTGCGGGGGTTTACTTGTATTTTCTGTTGTGATCTACATTTGGGTTGGTCATAGCAAGGGAGATGACTTGTGTCGTTTTGGGGACAATTATTTGCCTCATGTTACACTAGTCAATTCCACCGCGACTGTGTATAGTCGCGGTATCAGTTATTTGTTGTGTGTGTAGTCGCGGTACATTGCTCTGGCTCGTGTATCAATTATTTGTTTTGTGTACTCCTGAACATCAATGGAGAAAATTCATATCCTTTTTGCTCAATCTGGGGGATCTCTGGATTCTCTCTTCATATTTCCTCGTGTCCATCAATGGAACTTTCTCCCTTGCTCATCAATGGCTACCTCTACTTTCACCTTAGATTAATATCGGAGAACCTCCATCATCTTATGTGTTACATATCTCTTGATGCAGAACTGAGTTAGACAGCTACAGTTAGTAATTTGGAGATGTTTACTTGTTTAGTTATAGTTTATGGATGGACTAAATTGTTAGAGCAGCACCCTCGGAGGGCATTTTGGGGAAGTAGTCAGGTCTAGCTTATGCAAGCAAAGCTAGACATTAGTTTTAACTGACAAATTTTAGATTCCCATTATAGGCACTACTTTTCTATATGAAACTCAATCCTCACTTTTTTTTTCTGCGGTGCAACTTCATCAAATTTACTTTGAAATTTCACCAGAAAGTTCATGGTGATCAAATTCACCATTTAAACCGGTGAAATTTTAAAGTAAAACGTGGTGAAATTGCACTGCAGTGACCATGAAAAAAAGTGTATCGGAGAGGATTTTGGTTCTATTCTATACTCTCTCTCTCTATATTATGGCCATACCTTATTTGTGGCCATTGTTCATGGATAGGTTTTTATAAAACAACAGTATATCCTTCCTCTTTATCTACCTAAAATCCAAATATTGCACCAAACATGTTCCAGTCTTAGTTTTTTGTTTTTATTCCGGTTGTAGAATTCCCATTTTTGTTAGAATTAATCCCCCCCCTCTCTCTCTCTGTGAGTTTTTTTTTTTTAATAATTATAATAATAATTTTTTAAATATGTGGCAAAATTGTCATTACCTATTAGTCAGTTAATCCACTGAAAAGGTACTCCCTCGATTTCAATTAAGTAGATCTTTAAAATACTCAAATTTGAGGGAAACATAGTTAATGCATTGACACTTAAATCAAGAGGTTGGTTATTCAAATAATTTATTTTGCAATATTGGAAGAAACCTATATTGGAAGAAACCTATTTTTGATATTTTAATAGTGGATGGAGAGTGATACTCTTCATAGAAGGGGGAAAAAAATAAAAATAAATCTATGATCTTAGCCTACAGACTCATCTCATCACAGAAAGACATGGATTGAAAAATCAGATTAGGGTTCACTATTTGTTTATATTCCGTATGTTTTTGATTACTTGTTTTTTTGGACTCGAATTCAATAAATATAATTGAGACTCATTTAGAAAATTACATAAAATTCAGTGGGACCTAATTTATAGAGTTCCCTTCCAATCCACATAATTCATGTAAGGTGATAAGATTGGGTCCCAACCTTACCAAAAAAAATAATAAATAAATAAAAAATTATGAAGAGTTACATTACTTAATAGTAGAAACATATTTATGGTAACTAAACATTGATTATTCATGATTATATACTAGAGGAGTGAAAAAAAAAAAAAAAAAAAAAAGAGTCACTTTTAGCTCTTGGAGCTTTGAAAACTCCAAAATTCACAAATAAAAATATATTTCATTCGTTTCAAAATTTTTATTCATTTTTTTATCTTGGGATATCCCCAAAATAAATGTTCTATTCTAAAAATGAATATACTCTTTGCATGATATATCTAAACTATTCTTTTGACATTGATTTGTGCATTAATTACTGAGTATGCTTTTTTCTATTAGCAATGACAACTTTAAAAATTCACCCGTTACCACAAAAAGTTAAAATCCCTAAAACACCTAACAATTTTGAGACGGAAAAATAATAAGAAAAGAGTAAATCCATCAAAGTTAAATTACAAAGTACTCTTAACTTAAAGTGCGTTTGATGTAAATTTATATGTCTTCGATAGTTGAATTGAAAATGCCTTCTTCACTTCGTAATCTTATGCTCCCAAATCCAACAACTAAAATATGAGTTCACGTGAAATTGTTGTGATAACAACTTTTTTCTAATGAAAAGGAAACTTCATGTGATTTGGCTTAGGTTCATTGCCCCACTAGTTGATTGGGTTTGGGTTATGAAGTGATGTAAGTTTTAAATTATGTCCGAAACATAATCCAAGATAATGTGGTGGTTCCACGTCAGTGTAGTTGCTTTTATCATAATTTTTTTTTATAAAGATAAGAAGTGTTAGAAATTAAAACAACTCCAATAAACTGCTAAATCAGCTCTCAATTTTAAAATATAAGAGGTGAGTTTAGAATGGACTATCCAATGAACTCTCAAATGGGCTACCAAATTTTGAGATTTTCAAATCTTCTTTCAAATATAGCACAAATTATAGCAGTTGCCAAATTTTGAAATGAGGGTTGCTTTGCCTTTCTAATTGGAATGTGTTGACTATTCCGTGCTTATTTCAATATCATTTAGCTTGATCTCGGCTTTGTTACCTAATTCTGGATCTGTTCTTCTTAGAGTGACGAAGAAATATCTCATTTCTTACTAAAATGCATGTGATTTTTTGTAAATGTGTCTGTATGTATGTGTGTGTGTATATATATATATATTTGTAGTTTGTGGAGCTTTTACATAATCCACTTGCCATCTTGAACATGTATACTGGTTTGCTATTCTGAACCTGTAAGAGGATTTCCTTCTTTTATGAAGATTGCCATTTGATAGGATTTCCTTAAGGAAATTGAAATAACTAGTTATCACACATGAACCAATAGCCAAATTTTCATTTTTGATCACCCTTGTTCATTTCAGGTTTAATTAGGCTTAATTTTAGTTTTTTTCTAATATTTACAACTTGACTTAGAATGTGCCTAATATTAATATAATACTCCTCAATTACTAATATAAATATGAATGGTGGAAATGGTAGTTGAAAAAGAATGGTGATTATTTCAAAAAATAGCAGTTTGAATGAAATGCACCATTAGAACAGAATTGCTAAAGTATAACATTTTGACACTGTATCACCTCTCAAAATATAGATTTGGAATACAAAAAACATTTTGCATTGGAGATGGTCTTAAATTAGTAGATACATAAAGTCGAAATCTGACACTCTAAAATTTAGCGGTGGCACTAATCTACTAAGTTATCGAGCCATATGTGCTAATCAATGTCCAATCACATTAATCAATGTGTAAGAGAAAGGACATTCAATTAGACCTTTATTTTTAAAAATAAATTAAAATCTTTATCACTTCATATTTTTGAAGCTTCTTGAAATAAAAGAAGTCATATTTGAAATTGTACCAACTCTCAAAAATGAATTGAAAAAAATAAAAATAAAATAAAGCTAATAATAACTTTGGATTTTGCAAGGTTCACTCTTAAGCAGCCATATAGGTAGTATTTAAAAATTCTAACTTTGTGGGTTTTTTGTAATATATATACATTTATTATGGATTCAACAAACTGGTGATATATTCTAATGATATATGTTGGAGTTAGCAACTAAAATTTGTAGATAACGTTTAGTAAATATGAGGACTTGATGAGAATTCTTCATATTTTTTTCTTTAAAAATAACAATTAGTTTTTTAAAAAAAAAAATTAATTTTGAAAAAATATCAATTTTAGTTGGTCCTATGATCTTGTGGTAACCTAACATCACACCAAAACTGATTGTGTGTACTGAACATTCTATGCAGTATGCACCATACCATGGTCCAAAACCCATTGAAGCATATTCCTTGGCATGTCAAAATCAGTCAATAACAGACACATCAACCTCTAATAATTCACTCTTACCCAATTTTTGTTTCCCTACATTTTTTTTTTCTTCATGAAAACAAGATGTCCATATGATTTTATGCTATCTTCTATCCCTCTCTACCACAGGCTCAAGTTTAAGTGTGTGTGTGTGAGAGAGAGAGACTCCATAATTTCATCATTTCTGAGCTAGAAAGCTTGTCCTCCAAAAAGTTCAGTCCATGGAGAGATGCTCGTCTTCCGGTGATAGTACATGTAAAGAGAGGCAGATTTCATGCTGGGGTTATCTCAAGCTAAAGTTTGCATGGACAAGAAAAAGAAGTAATGGTACAAGGCAAAGAAGTAGTGTAAGTGACATAACAAACATTCTCAAATCCAAAGGATCAAAAGCACAAGGCAGTTTCAGGTATGACCCCTTAAGCTATGCTCAAAACTTCGATGAAGGTTGTCGGGACGACGATGACGAGGACTCTTCTTTTAGGGGATTCTCATCAAGATATGCTGCCCCATCTTCCAAATCAATCCGAAGTTGATCACAAACGACCAACACTAATACACCGAATCCCATCAAAACTTCGCAGTTAAGAGTGTTTGGCAAGAGTAGTACTAGGGATTGGGTGACCGGGAAGTCCTCCTCTTTTACTTCAAAAAAATTCTACCCAAATAAAAAAAAAGTAATTTTTGGATGGTTGGTGGAATATACCAATTGAGCTAGTCAATATATATATATGTGTCCTTAGGACATTTTTATATTTTGTGAATGTATAATGTCAAGTTTAAAATGTATACTTATGGGTTTATACTTTATAGAAAAGAAGATTATTGATACTCTTATCTGCCTTTGATAGCATCTGGATGTTAAGCAATTAATATAAACTTAGCGGCAATCCCATTAATTCCTAGTTTGCAAGTCATTTTTTTCCTCATGTTATATATATATATATATATATATATATATATATGATGGAAAGAATAAAGAAATTTTATAGCCTTAGACAGACTCAAAATTTCTTGAAAAGGAAATGTGAAGAAAATCTGTCAGGGAAATAGATTTCTCTCTTTTCGTTTTCTTTCATTGTACTGGATATCACATTATAGTATCCCGAGTCCCGACTAATAATAAGTAACTATTGAATTGTCGGTATCTCAGAATATTCAATAATTTTTCATATCTAAGAACCAAACAGTAATTAAAGTCACCGAAATTGCATTTTTGGAACAGTAATGGTATTGAAATTTGACACTCTGATCTCAAGTGATATGGGCTAACAACACGTTCATGATACAATGGTGGTGTCTGTTTGCTTAAAAATTTTCAAATGGGTTCTTATAAGCAAGGGTCTCATGATCAAATAGAGAGGTGATCAATGCAATTTATTATATCCACAGAGGAATATTGGTCTTCTCTAATGGTTTGATTAATTCAAAATGCCTCTCAAACATGTGTTGTATAAGGTTACATGAACTTGTCTCATACATGTTGCAAGATTTTTAAAGTTTTTTATATGTTCATTTCTTATATGCTTCAAAAATGACGTTGACCTTCATATGGTTAAATAATTGTGATCGAATTTGGAAAAGTGGATACACTGAAGCAATGTATACCACTATCAAATTGGCTTTCCACTTGAAGTATACCAAGATTGTCATAAAGCCAACGGGTTTGAGGTGAATATGAATGATCTATTATTTAAAATTTGAGCAAATTAATATTTAAAATTGTACACCTCCTATAGTAGTATTTGTTTGGACAGAATCACGAGGTTAATTAACATATTCCATGGAGAACCATGTGAAGATTGATTATGCCTATTATAACATAATCAATTTTTGTATCTATAAAAATTCATAAAATTTTAGTTTTTTATTTTAGTTAAAGAAAGAAAATTTTGATTTTTGGATCTACTAAATTGAGGTGAATTTTTGGAGGAGAAGGTTATAGTGCAGAAAAGAATTGAAATTATAATTTATAATAATTCTCATGCTCATATATATATAGTATTTAGCTTTTGTTATACAATGCTAGCGGAACCTTTAAACTATTCTATATCAATACAAGTGTAGTGTTATTATCAGTTAAAGAATTTATAGATTGTTCTTATGAATTCTTAAAATGTGGGGCACATATATATGATGCACAAAAATTCTCGTACTAAATGGTGTTAAACTTTCTAGGCTACTTTTAGAAAACCTTCCATAGTTTCATAATTGTAATTTTCAAGCACATACAATTTATTATTTTTTTTTTTCAAGTAAGATTTTACTAACAAAACCTAAGACAATACAAAGAAAAAGGAAATCAACTGCTAACAGATCAAGGATTGAAAAATTCCATTTCCAGAAACCAGCAAAAAAAAAAAAAAAAAGAAGCAAAAACCAAGATATACCAACTCTACAAACAAACCTCCAAATAAAGAGAATTGAATGAATAGCCAATATCTCTTGCTGGCACAGGCATCAAGCAAGCAGACATTGAAAAAAAAAAAAAAAAAAGGGAAGGGAAAAAAGCAATATTCAATTTCAGAACAGAATGATGTATTCAGCACAACCAACTTTCAACAGTGATGTATTTGATTCTATTTTAGACAATGTGAACCTTCTGCAACCTTAAACTACCAATGGCAGCAACTCCGGACTTAACCGATAAGCGTGGTTTGTGGACGGTCCCGGCAGCTACAAGTCCAAAGTACCGGTAATTCTGAGGTTCCCATGTCATAAAAAAAAAATAATAATAAATAAAAAAAAAAAAAAAAAAATTCAGATAAGGTTTTAGACAAATATTGGCATCTTAAAATATAGGGCAACCGTCCACTGCTATGCCCTTGGCTGGTGGGCATGATGCCTGAGCACAATGTTCAGAGTTACTCTTATCGTTACCCCACCAGTTTATACTTTTGTCCTCCAAGCCCGTGGTGAAGTAAAGCAGAACCGCCATGAAAGCCACCCCGGCATCCAAAGCTGCTGAAAGAATATAGTTATATCTCTGCCACCATTTCTTCCTGTACCTGAAGACAAAGAAGTTGAAGATCGTCCCGACCAATATCCAAGAATTGTAGTTCAATGCTGTTGCCGGTGGCATATAAGCAGTTGCTCCGAGGAGTACTGGAAGGTTAATGAGGGGAATCCAAGATTGGTTGGGGAAAGCCTTGTGCGCGAGCCATACTGCAACTGGTCCCAACAATCCTCCAAGGAAGAACCAGTTAAGAGCTGCATAGTTGCCAAGAGGGCCGAAAATTCGCCTAGGTCCTGCCAGACCCCAGATGACAGATGCATCAAAGAAGACACGGTCGTTGGGGCATGTCCAAGGACTGTTTTCTGGAAGAACTTCCTTGTGGCATATATCTGTAACCGTGTTCAAAAGCCACCACGCAACACTCATATTGATAGTTCCTGCAATGATGGTTCCAAGGAACTGGGGGTTACAGATGAAAGAATAATCAGATGCAATGAAAAAAGGGAAATGATTCTTGTAGTGAATTGTTAGATCTACTCTTTTAATTGGTCAATTATGCAACAAATAAGAAAGTGGAGCCCTCCACTTAGTTGTATTTTGTATAAATAGCTAATTAAAAATTATTCGGTTAGACAATTCACTGCAAGTGTTCGGTGTGAGTATCACTACTCATGAAAAAATCGAAAACAATCATCTTGTTTCATCTAGGGAACTTTAGAAACTCTTCTACATAAACATGTCTTTATTGCCTTGTTTAAGCATATTATCTTGGCAGATTAGGGGAGGCCTGGGAGGGAAGACTTAAACACGGGCACACCTGCTCGGGGAGCTGGATGCTCTGCCAACTAGGCCAGTAGGTAATGCACAATAACTTGTATGTTATTTGAGAGAAGTAAGAAGATACCTGAACTATAAACATTGATCTTGGGGGAATCTTCATGTAATGGCCTAGCTTGAAATCACTGAGAAAGGAGATTGCCTGTGTCATGCTCATATATCCATAGGTCTTAAAGCAGACATTGGCTATAGGTCGTCCGGGTAATATTACTCTCATAATGTACTCTGTGATGATATTCAGCCCTGGTGTCTGTTCAGGAGCCATTAAAAAGTCAATAGGCTGAAGAAATTTTCTTTTTTCCTTGGATAATGGTTGTTGCAATACGGAGTATTAATTAGCCCAGATTTTTTTTTTTTCAAAATGGGAATATAATTTATTAAAACTATAGAAGAAAAGAAGAAATTAGGCGAATTATAAGTTTGACTTACCTGATTTGTGGTGGCGGTAATGATGCTGATGGGGAGGGTAAACATGAAGGCAAGGGCAGCTGCAAACAGAAGCCCCCACCAAGGCATCTGAACCTCCTTCTTTAAAAAGATGCAGAGTGCAAGAGACACCGCAATCGTCACTGCGAGAAGCAAGTAAAACCACCACGAAGTTATGTCCTCGTAGTTCTTCATCAATCTTGTGTGCGCGTCCTCCTTCTTCTTGGAAGAAGCTCTGGTTCGATCATAAATCTCCCTGTGACATTACAGTGCAAGAGGTCAATGTATTGTGTCCACCAGACAAATGAATGGCAGGAAATCATTGTCCTCTGTGGTTTATGAAAGATGCAGATTCACATGAAGAGAACTGATTGCAGGCACTAAACATTTCATGCTCGAGCACAATAACTTCAAGGATTAAAAGATTTTCCATTGCTTTGTTGATTTAAATTTCCTTCAAATTCTAATCCTGTAGGTGATAAATGGTTGGTTTTAGCAACTGCACCCGCAAATACTTGAACGGCTCTTAGAAATAAATTCAGCAACCATTGAAGCCATTCTATTTAACATCAAATGCCCCCTGATTTCCAGCAAAATAATCATATGAAGACCACTTATACAGTTTTTTTTTTTTTGCACATGTAAGTGTAGTGAAGGTACTGTATATATTTAGTCGGTAGAACTTCTAAAAATTGATAAAAAGTTAAATGGGCTGTTTAAAAACTTCGCAAAGAAGTCAGCAATTCAACTAAAAGTATCAAGCATATATGAACAAAATATAAACAGAGAGATTACCTTCCATAAAACAAGGCCACATGAGTAAGTGTAGATGCAATGGTGGCGAATCCAAATCCATAGCTAAGAGCGAAGAACGTACTCAAATTGACTCTTCCTTGTTTATCATACTCCACCATATCTATCTCGAACTTCTTATTAACAATAGCTGTTATGTTATACAACTGGCCTTCTGCAGTGAACAAGTCTGCTGAATATATGGGGAAGTTTTTGGCGTTGTACACATTTATCCCCCAGTAGGCTGTGGGAATGACTACGTAGAGTATAAAGAAATAGCCTACAAAGACATTGGCAATGGCGAAAAACGGACAGATGAGAGGGCTGAACAGGAAGGAAGCCACCACTGTCCAGTCTAATGTGAAGGCTCCGAGTCCTAGACCAGACAAACCCGAACCGAGCTGGTGGGCAGTGACTGATTTGGGAAATGCCCAGCACACCCATGCGATGCTTTGTAAGGCCGAGAAGAAGTAACCAGGAACCAAGTACCATAAGAAACTACAGGTGAGTGCAATCACGAAAATTTTTGATCGCGACATTTGCTTCTTTGTGTCATTGCCATCCTCTGTTCCTTTGCCTTCATCTTCTCAAATAATGTTGAACCAAGTACAATTTATTTGCTAGAGTTGTATGTTGAAATGCTAGTTATATGAATGATGAAACTTTATAACATGTGACAATGTCAATTAGACAATTTACTAAAGACATAGTATATAGATAACAATAATATCTTCTCAAATAATGTTGGACAGTAACCACAGCTATTGACAATTGGCTAAAAATTTTGGTTGTAGTTTACTGATTGACAGATGGGTCCAAGAAAATGGTTTTCTTAGACTATTAGCTTTTGATTGTGCAAGCGGACATGAAGTCTACGGGTCATTTTTGCACGTCAAATCTGCCGGAGTGCCGGTAAAGAAAAATTACAATATCATATGTATATATAAGAAGGCCTGCAGTCTCCTAGAGTTCTTTTGCAGTGTAACAGTATTTTGAAAGACAACTGTGTTATTTAAATATAAATAAGATTTTTTAAAAAATAAAAAAAAATATTGTATAGTTTCAAGTGAAAATGCACCTTGCCCATACTGGACTTGAAGTGTTAACCTTTAGTTTTGAATAATGAAGGATTAGTGAGATACCAATGAATTATAATGATTAGGAAAAAAAAAAAAAAAAAAACCATTTTTAGTGTCCAATATATAAGCAATTGACCTAATATGGTAACATATGGGTGACCATAAAAAAGACATGGTGTAATGGAAAAAATAAAGTAACATATTATAATTAACCACAATTTAGTGACAAGTATAGTGACAAGTCCCCAGTGTTTATCAACTAATGGCACAAAATCCACACACAAGAAGAAGAAGAGTACCGGAATAGTGATATCTGGACCAGGGTACTGGGCCACCACATATGAGCTGGCTCCACCACATACTTCCTTAATAGCCCAGCCCAACCGTAACCCAAAACCTGATTCACAGAGTGCGCACGTTAGCATGAACCTTGGATGAACACTCCAATGAAGATGATGAATCCAATCAGATTCAGAGCTGAAGAAAAAGCTTTGGCTGATGTACACTTGGGACCAAATAATTGTACACTATAAAAATTGTACTTCATAACTGTATACGTAAAATTTTCTTTCGGAAAATAGAAACCCAAAACTTGAAAATTAATTAAACACCACCACAAAACATAATTGTATAACCATGAAGAAGAATCCTCTGCTTGGCTGCCGAGAAAATATAGGAAAATATAGAAAGACAAATAATGATCACCCCTCAACTAGGCATAATTACTAGTTCAATATTAACAGTTGATTCTCCATTTTGGGATACCCAAAACAACATAAATCAAGCAGTTACAACTTCAGGATGGATTATCTTAAATCCATTTTTCTCGCCCACTTTCTCAGCAACCAAACAACAGCTAGCTCACAGTAAAAAAAATAAAAAGATAGTGGGTACCTGAGTAGTTATGATAAGAAGCCAACCAGCCAAGAAGGAGATCTTCCTTCCATAGAAGGCCTTTATGATGTTAACAATTCCAACAGCATAAGCCGGTCCATTCCCAAAAGCACTTCCAGCGTTGGCGAATATGGATATGAGCACATGTTCCTTCATGTTAAACGGACCCGGGTTGAGGGAGAATTTCCGGGCCCCGCACCCGGGGATGTTGAACTGGGTGGTGGGGAGGACGGAGGCCATGAACCGTCCGATGGGGAGGGAGGCCACCTGGACTGTGATCATGGTGATGATCAGAGGCTCCCTCCGGTAGGCGAAGAACTGGTTGAGGAACGAGAGGACGACGACGGAGAGCAAGCCCAGGACCCACATTCGGAAGGTCCATACCGGGAGCGAGGAGTCGTCGGATGTGGGTACGGTCAGTCGGACCTGTTCGATTGGGGATTCTTCGTCGTCGTAGATGTCCTCATCGTCTGATACTTTCTTGGCCAATGGGGCTTCTATTTCCAAGGTTCCATGGAGAGAGCTGAAATGTTAGAGAGAGAGAGTGATGGGACTGTTAGAGAGAGAAAGCTAGAGAGAGATAAGGACTGCGGGAGACGGTTACTCTATGATACACGTACAGAGTACATAGAGTACATGAGGAGGTGGTGGATGGAGAGGATGATGATTTGTTTTTGTTACCTTTTGAAGTGCAATTACTAGGATGCCCTTTTGGCCAAACCTGTTTTTTTAGTGTTGTTTTTGAAAGGGAAGTAAAATATAAAAATAAATGTTTCAAGTGTTGTTTGAAAGGGAAATAAAATACATATATAAAAAAAATGTTTTAAGGCTGGTTGAAAAAAAAAAAAAAAAACAAAGAAGAAGGGATTGTCATATAGCAAAATATTTTTTGATTTAAAATATTCAAATCTTCAAATGACAGAATTACCCTTGTTAATTCCAATTTTCTCTCTCTATCTCTCACTGAAAACCTAAAAATTTTGCCCAGAAATCACCACCACCACTTCCACCATTGTCACCTCCACCCACTCACCACTGCCATCTCCACCGAAAAACGAAACAAAGAATTTACAAATTAGTTTAGTGAGAATTATTGCATACTATTATTTTTTTTTAATAAATAATAATCAATGTTTTTCTCTGTGCCCATCCAAAGTGTTTCTTCAATTTTGTGGGAAAAAAAAAAAAAAAAAATTTATTTCTTGAAAGAACGAACAGGGGCGATAGTGGTAGAGAGAGTGGAGGCGGCGCCGGGCCTTTGTCGAAGCATCCACTGGCCGTGGAGACTCGATGGCGAGCTTGCGAGCAAGGTGGAGAGCTTGGCTGTGGATGATCTGTTACCGGCGATGAGAGAGACGGCGAGCTCGGCCTGTGGCTGTGGACTGATGAGACAGATCCGGCGAGGGAGGTGTTGGATGGGGAAAATAACGGAATCGGAATCGAAGCCGTTCGCGAGAAACTCATGTTTGATTTCTGACTCGCCGCTGATAAAGAAGAAAGTTTCAATTGAGAAAGATTTCGAACTCCCGACTTCGGCGAGACCATGGAAATTGAGAACTCGAAGAGCAGCTTGTAAAGAGCCTAACAATTCTGCTGCGGCCGGCGGGAGCTCAAAGGGAGCGATCTTGAGGGGCAAAGAGCCGCGGAGTAGTAATGGTAAGCCGTCGCCGGTGATAGCCGAGAGTCCAATGACGAAGGCCAAATCGAGTCGAATGGGAGGATTGGCGGCGGCTGCTAGGACGGCGCAGTGTTTGCAGAAGAGAGAGCAGTTGGAGCGACCTAGGTTTTTTATTTCTCTTTTTTTTTGGCTATTTGGGGAACGGAGCCGAAGAGAAGACCGACGAAGAAGAGGCCAAAGATAATTCAGAAAAATTTGGACGTACGAACACTATCCATTCTTATATCAATTTCGGCAATTCAATTTCTACACCAAATTGTTCGATTATTGCTTTAATTTTATGTCTCACTAATCTATTCTACAAACTTGTTGCAGTCTATTTTTCAAGGCTTGTGGTTGACCGAAGTAACATTAGATCAATACAAAGTTCCTGCTTTCCAATAATCAAGATTGCCGCGGCAGATGTGGATGAGGCGGTGGCATAGGTGGAGGCCGGAAGGAGGTGGTGAGATTGTGGAAGTGGAGAGAGCGTGGAAGTTACGGTGGTGTTGGATGGTAGGTAGGTGGCGATGGTCCTGCCTTGCTCTTTTGTCGGACAAAGATGGTGCTAATGTAATAGTGCATATGTATAAGGGCAAACTTAACTTTTCATAAGTTATGATATTTTATCATAAAATGAATTAAACATTAAGGGTAATTTTGTCTTTTTAACGTTTTAAGGGTTTGTTTGGATCAAAATTCTCATATGGGGTGTTTTTGTCAAAAAAAAGGGTTAAGTTATATATGGTTGTCAATATGTCAAACTTCAGGGGGTATTATTATAATTAACTTATAAAATAAAATTGACTTGTGTAATAGCATTTTCCGCCAAGGAACGTTGTCTCATCATGTTGGCGGGAATGTTTGGGACAATAAAAAATTTTTGGTCATCGAGCCTTAATTATAATTTTAAAATTATATTCTCTCCATTAACAACCTTCAAACTCGTATATATCAGCTTTTAGTTCGTGTTACAGGTTGAGAGGTTCACCAATTTCTTCATTCTATTCTTGACCATATCACTTTAGTGTGATTCTTACACCCATTTATTTTTACAAGAACTATAACCCTTTCTGTGATAATAATAATAACAATTATTTAGATTATTAAGGTGATAAACATAGTTTTTAACATCGTAAACATCTTTCTTACTTTGCTTATCTTTTACAGTAAATAAATAATAATGATAATAGCAAAAATTGCTTGGGTTATTACGGTGGTAAATATAATTTTTACCATCGTAAACATCTTTCATTTCATGCTTACTTTTTACAAAAATAAAAAATTGTTTGGGTTATTACATTGGTAAACATAGTTTTTACCACTGTAAACATCTTTCCTTTCATGTTTACTATAACTGCACATCCATTCATTTATATTCAATCACTTATTCATCCGGATCTGATGTAGGACAAACTACCTTTGTTATATTTTTCCCAACCCCAACCGCAGCGCCCTCGTTGCAGCTCAGGCCTCCCTGCCTATCCGGGCTGCAAGCCCAGACGCCCTCCAGACTGAGCGCTTCACGTGACAACAGATCAAGAATTGGGTCTGATTCTGATACTGACTGTAATGAGTGGACATTTACGAGTGTTAGGAGATCAAGCGCCTAAGAGACCAATCTCAAACAAAATATCCAGAACACATTTCCTTTGAGAAAGTGAGATGCATTGACAAGACCGAGCAACTTCAATGCCAAGGAAATAATGAAATTGTTTTTCCTCCAAGAACCAAATATTATTATAAAAATCCTCTTATGCTGCTTATGAACAGATTAAAACCACATTGACATGTACCATATATGCTTATATACTGGATCATACTCAACTGTGATTATTTAATACTATAGTTCGAGTTTATAATTAAAACCCTCTATAATTATCTATTTCATGATTCACCCAAGACATTGCTATGCTTAATTACTGAAACAGGTAAGAAGTTATAATTCTTACCTGTTTAATTTCTCTTTTCCCATTTATGGGCCTGTAAATTTACTTATATATATATATATATATATATATATATATATATATATGAAATTTACCTTTTTAAAATAAAATAAAAAGGTTCAATTATCAGAACTCAAATCAGAAAACTATTAAATTTCATGCTTCATTAAAGATTGCAATGGAAAAAAAAAAAAAAAAAAAAAAAAAAAAAGTGAGCATCATGGGCGAGGTTAAAATTGCATGCCTGGAGTGCCTGGAAGATTTCTTTTCTTCTTAGGTGGCTGTTGTTGGGAGGTGGAGCTATTGTTGTTTGTTGCAGTGAAGGAAGGTACTGATCATTAGGGCCGTTGAAGTGGTTTTGATTATACTTTTCTTGAAGCTGGTGGACTTCTTCCCCAATATTTCCTGAAGAGAAGCTTCCATCATCACCTGTAATATTTGACATTAGAAAGAGAGGTTTGTGGAGATAGTTATGTTCGGCTCGTGAAAAAGTGCTAGTTTCGCTTTTCAGGTGAATGGAAAGTAGGAGTGGATGTCGGGCGTGCCAGGAACTGCTGTCGTTCCAAAGTGGATATCCGAACAACTATCCAGTAGGAGATTGTAAGGATCAGGTAATTGAATGAAGGACTGGAATTACTACATTCAAAGGTTTTTTTTGCCTTGAAAAATGACTTTCGGACTGAACTATGGCTAGTGGAAAGGAAAGCTGTATTGAAAGTGCAGAACTTCAAAGTAAAGTGCAGGAAAGTAGGAATAGTAAGTGCGGGACTTGAATTAAACATATTGAAATTGCATTACATGAATGTAAAGAAATTGAAGTGTTGTTGGTTGTGTGTGTTGAACAGGATTTGCAAATTAACTCTAACTGCTCTATTTATAGAGCTTTCCATGCATGCAGCAGCTTAATGTGGCAGCTTCAGCAACTTCCACGTGGCCAAAACTCGGACTGCCAAGTGTCCTATGATTTCTTGTCAATTGTAACTTCCTCCTTCCATCTCTGTTGCAAATTCCAGCCATGCTTTCCACGACCTCATTTTACAGACAATTCTTGCAAAATAATTTCCACTTGGTTTCTTCATAAGTCGACATGTGTCCCACGTCTCCATGTTCTTGTTCATGCCGTAGACTTCTTCCCCTTTCAGACACGATTTTATCATCCCTGTTTATTCATATTTTTCGACAACTATTTCGGTTAGTAGAGTAGTTGCATGAGATGACACTACTGTCAGCTTATTAAGTGTTCCACGATCTCTTGTAACACCTTTGTTCATTAGAATCCTTCTTTCCATCTAATTCCATACATCATGCTCATATATGGAAGTTATTCCATAACCCACGTTTCCCTTATCCTTCTGCACCCATGTTTCCTTGATCTTAATAACCTCTTCAAACAGACCTTCGTTTTTGGTTTGGAACATATGCGTCGTGGCCCCAAAACTTCAGCGATTTTACTCTTAATGGAAATATATATATATATATATATATTTCCAGAAATATACATCATTAC